CTGTCACATTTCAAAGAGCCAAAACGTTATTTATTGTGTGAATCTCGTAAAAATATTGACAGAATCTGACAGCTGTGAGTTTGTTCCATATCAAAAGTAACCTTCTCTGTCTTGTCTGTCTTGTCTGTCAGTGTCCTCTTTGTCCGCGATTTCTCTGTGTGAAAAGGGTCATTTGCGTGAGTCTCACGGTCAATGCGTGAGAGTTGGCAGCTCTGCCTGCTAGTAATCTCTATTAATCTCCAGTATTATTACATTGTTTGATACAATATTGTTTCATCTGATATTATGCAAATATGAATTTTTATTTTATATTGGTTTTATTATTACCATATGTTACTTGTATTTATATTGTTTAAAGATTTAAGTTAATATTGTGTCCAGTTTGGCCCTGTAAATTAAAGGGTATTATTTTTTGATAAAGTGTGTGCGGTTTCATTTTCTTAAGTACCGTTTCAAGAACCGTTTAAGCACCGGAACCGTTTAAAAAATACCGAGTAGGTACTGGTATCGGATAAAACCCAACCGATACCCAACCCTATCTATCACACAGCTGTAATCTGCTGAAGTGTCTATATCACACAGCTGTAATCTGCTGAAGTGTCTATATCACACAGCTGTAATCTGCTGAAGTGTCTATATCACACAGCTGTAATCTGCTGAAGTGTCTATATCACACAGCTGTAATCTGCTGAAGTGTCTATATCACACAGCTGTAATCTGATGAAGTGTCTATATCACACAGCTGTAATCTGATGAAGTGTCTATCACACAGCTGTAATCTGCTGAAGTGTCTATCACACAGCTGTAATCTGCTGAAGTGTCTATATCACACAGCTGTAATCTGCTGAAGTGTCTATATCACACAGCTGTAATCTGCTGAAGTGTCTATATCACACAGCTGTAATCTGCTGAAGTGTCTATATCACACAGCTGTAATCTGCTGAAGTGTCTATCACACAGCTGTAATCTGCTGAAGTGTCTATATCACACAGCTGTAATCTGATGAAGTGTCTATATCACACAGCTGTAATCTGCTGAAGTGTCTATATCACACAGCTGTAATCTGCTGAAGTGTCTATATCACACAGCTGTAATCTGCTGAAGTGTCTATCACACAGCTGTAATCTGCTGAAGTGTCTATCACACAGCTGTAATCTGCTGAAGTCTCTATATCACACAGCTGTAATCTGCTGAAGTGTCTATATCACACAGCTGTAATCTGCTGAAGTGTCTATCACACAGCTGTAATCTGCTGAAGTGTCTATCACACAGCTGTAATCTGCTGAAGTCTCTATATCACACAGCTGTAATCTGCTGAAGTGTCTATATCACACAGCTGTAATCTGCTGAAGTGTCTATATCACACAGCTGTAATCTGCTGAAGTGTCTATCACACAGCTGTAATCTGCTGAAGTGTCTATCACACAGCTGTAATCTGCTGAAGTGTCTATATCACACAGCTGTAATCTGCTGAAGTGTCTATATCACACAGCTGTAATCTGCTGAAGTGTCTATATCACACAGCTGTAATCTGCTGAAGTGTCTATATCACACAGCTGTAATCTGCTGAAGTGTCTATATCACACAGCTGTAATCTGCTGAAGTGTCTATATCACACAGCTGTAATCTGATGAAGTGTCTATATCACACAGCTGTAATCTGCTGAAGTGTCTATATCACACAGCTGTAATCTGATGAAGTGTCTATATCACACAGCTGTAATCTGCTGAAGTGTCTATATCACACAGCTGTAATCTGCTGAAGTGTCTATATCACACAGCTGTAATCTGATGAAGTGTCTATATCACACAGCTGTAATCTGCTGAAGTGTCTATATCACACAGCTGTAATCTGCTGAAGTGTCTATATCACACAGCTGTAATCTGCTGAAGTGTCTATATCACACAGCTGTAATCTGCTGAAGTGTCTATATCACACAGCTGTAATCTGCTGAAGTGTCTATATCACACAGCTATAATCTGCTGAAGTGTCTATATCACACAGCTGTAATCTGCTGAAGTGTCTATCACACAGCTGTAATCTGCTGAAGTGTCTATATCACACAGCTGTAATCTGCTGAAGTGTCTATCACACAGCTGTAATCTGCTGAAGTGTCTATCACACAGCTGTAATCTGATGAAGTGTCTATATCACACAGCTGTAATCTGATGAAGTGTCTATATCACACAGCTGTAATCTGATGAAGTGTCTATATCACACAGCTGTAATCTGCTGAAGTGTCTATATCACACAGCTGTAATCTGATGAAGTGTCTATATCACACAGCTGTAATCTGCTGAAGTGTCTATATCACACAGCTGTAATCTGCTGAAGTGTCTATATCACACAGCTGTAATCTGATGAAGTGTCTATATCACACAGCTGTAATCTACTGAAGTGTCTATATCACACAGCTGTAATCTGCTGAAGTGTCTATATCACACAGCTGTAATCTGCTGAAGTGTCTATATCACACAGCTGTAATCTGCTGAAGTGTCTATATCACACAGCGGTAATCTGATGAAGTGTCTATATCACACAGCTGTAATCTACTGAAGTGTCTATATCACACAGCTGTAATCTGCTGAAGTGTCTATATCACACAGCTGTAATCTGCTGAAGTGTCTATATCACACAGCTGTAATCTGCTGAAGTGTCTATATCACACAGCTGTAATCTGCTGAAGTGTCTATATCACACAGCTGTAATCTGCTGAAGTGTCTATATCACACAGCTGTAATCTGCTGAAGTGTCTATATCACACAGCTGTAATCTGCTGAAGTGTCTATATCACACAGCTGTAATCTGCTGAAGTGTCTATATCACACAGCTGTAATCTGCTGAAGTGTCTATATCACACAGCTGTAATCTGCTGAAGTGTCTATATCACACAGCTGTAATCTGCTGAAGTGTCTATATCACACAGCTGTAATCTGCTGAAGTGTCTATATCACACAGCTGTAATCTGCTGAAGTGTCTATATCACACAGCTGTAATCTGCTGAAGTGTCTATATCACACAGCTGTAATCTGATGAAGTGTCTATATCACACAGCTGTAATCTGATGAAGTGTCTATATCACACAGCTGTAATCTGCTGAAGTGTCTATATCACACAGCTGTAATCTGATGAAGTGTCTATATCACACAGCTGTAATCTGCTGAAGTGTCTATATCACACAGCTGTAATCTGCTGAAGTGTCTATATCACACAGCTGTAATCTGCTGAAGTGTCTATATCACACAGCTGTAATCTGCTGAAGTGTCTATATCACACAGCTGTAATCTGCTGAAGTGTCTATATCACACAGCTGTAATCTGCTGAAGTGTCTATATCACACAGCTGTAATCTGATGAAGTGTCTATATCACACAGCTGTAATCTGCTGAAGTGTCTATATCACACAGCTGTAATCTGATGAAGTGTCTATATCACACAGCTGTAATCTGATGAAGTGTCTATATCACACAGCTGTAATCTGCTGAAGTGTCTATATCACACAGCTGTAATCTGCTGAAGTGTCTATCACACAGCTGTAATCTGCTGAAGTGTCTATATCACACAGCTGTAATCTGCTGAAGTGTCTATATCACACAGCTGTAATCTACTGAAGTGTCTATATCACACAGCTGTAATCTGATGAAGTGTCTATCACACAGCTGTAATCTACTGAAGTGTCTATATCACACAGCTGTAATCTGCTGAAGTGTCTATATCACACAGCTGTAATCTGCTGAAGTGTCTATATCACACAGCTGTAATCTGCTGAAGTGTCTATATCACACAGATGTAATCTGCTGAAGTGTCTATATCACACAGCTGTAATCTGCTGAAGTGTCTATATCACACAGCTGTAATCTGCTGAAGTGTCTATATCACACAGCTGTAATCTGCTGAATGGAGGTGTTCTAACCCTAAACTGCTGGTTCTGCTGCTTTCACAGGGCGAGTCCTGCGTTCTACAGGAACGTGGTGAAGGTCCAGAAGCACGTGACGTTTAACCAGGTCAAAGGCATCTTCGGGTTCACAGACAGCGACTGTATCGGTGAGCAGAGCCGCTTCTTCTGAACGCTTGATCCGCTGTTCGTCCGACGCGTTTAATCGCGTGTGTTTGCAGGCAAGATCAGTTTCCCGGCCATCCAAGCGGCTCCGTCCTTCAGCAACTCGTTCCCGCAGATCTTCGGGGAGCGGAGCGACGTTCAGTGTCTCATCCCGTGTGCCATCGATCAGGTGAGTGTGTGTGTGAGAGTGAGTGTGTGTGTGTGCCATCGATCAGGTGAGTGTGTGTGTGAGAGTGAGTGCGTGTGTGTGTGTGTGTGTGTGCCATCGATCCGGTGAGTGTGTGTGTGTGTGTGCCATCGATCAGGTGAGTGTGTGTGTGAGAGTGAGTGCGTGTGTGTGTGTGTGCCATCGATCAGGTGAGTGTGTTTGTGAGTGTGTGTGTGTGTGTATGCCATCGATCAGGTGAGTGTGTGTGTGCCATCGATCAGGTGAGTGTGTGTGTGTGAGAGTGTGTGTGTGTGTGAGTCAGTGTGTGAGAGAAATAGAGTGAGTGAGTGTGTGTGTGTGTGTGTGTGTGCCATCGATCAGGTGAGACGCTCGAATAACACACGCTTTTACACTCTCTGAACTGCCGTGTGAAATGATTGGCTAGTTTGGGAAACGGCACAGGCCAGCGCCACCTACTGGCCAAACCAGGACGAATAACAGCTTTAACAAACCAACTGCAAATGTTTTCATCTGTTAAATCCACTAATGAGCTGTGATGTTGTGAAGTGCTGCTGAACGTCACATGGTCTGTTCCTCAGGATCCGTACTTCCGGATGACGCGCGACGTGGCTCCGCGGATCGGCTATCTGAAGCCGGCTCTGCTCCACTCCACGTTCTTCCCGGCGCTTCAGGGCGCGCAGACCAAGATGAGCGCTAGCGACGCCAACTCCTCCATCTTCCTCACAGACACGGCCAAACAGATCAAGAACAAGGTGCCGTCACCATCACAACTGAACTAGCGGCAACTCGAGACGAGTCCCTTCATCTATACAGCGACACACACACTCGTCTCCTTCATCTATACAGCGACACACACTCTCGTCTCCTTCATCTATACAGCGACACACACACGTCTCCTTCATCTATACAGCGACACACACACACGTCTCCTTCATCTATACAGCGACACACACTCTCGTCTCCTTCATCTATACAGCGACACACACTCTCGTCTCCTTCATCTATACAGCGACACACACTCTCGTCTCCTTCATCTATACAGCGACACACACTCTCGTCTCCTTCATCTATACAGCGACACACACTCTCGTCTCCATCTATACAGCGACACACACTCTCGTCTCGTTCATCTATACAGCGACACACACTCTCGTCTCCTTCATCTATACAGCGACACACACTCTCGTCTCCTTCATCTATACAGCGACACACACTCTCGTCTCCTTCATCTATACAGCGACACACACACGTCTCCTTCATCTATACAGCGACACACACACACGTCTCCTTCATCTATACAGCGACACACACTCTCGTCTCCTTCATCTATACAGCGACACACACTCTCGTCTCCTTCATCTATACAGCGACACACACTCTCGTCTCCTTCATCTATACAGCGACACACACACTCGTCTCCTTCATCTATACAGCGACACACACTCTCGTCTCCTTCATCTATACAGCGACACACACACGTCTCCTTCATCTATACAGCGACACACACACACGTCTCCTTCATCTATACAGCGACACACACTCTCGTCTCCTTCATCTATACAGCGACACACTCTCGTCTCCTTCATCTATACAGCGACACACACACTCGTCTCCTTCATCTATACAGCGACACACACTCTCGTCTCCATCTATACAGCGACACACACACTCGTCTCCTTCATCTATACAGCGACACACACTCTCGTCTCCTTCATCTATACAGCGACACACACTCTCGTCTCCTTCATCTATACAGCGACACACACTCTCGTCTCCTTCATCTATACAGCGACACACACTCTCGTCTCCTTCATCTATACGGCGACACACACAAACGTCAGCTTCATCTATACAGCGACACACACACACGTCTCCATCTATACAGCGACACACACACGTCTCCTTCATCTATACAGCGACACACACACGTCAGCTTCATCTATACAGCGACACACACTCTCGTCTCCTTCATCTATACAGCGACACACACTCTCGTCTCCTTCATCTATACAGGGACACACACACACGTCAGCTTCATCTATACAGCGACACACACACTCGTCTCCTTCATCTATACAGCGACACACACACTCGTCTCCTTCATCTATACAGCGACACACACTCTCGTCTCCTTCATCTATACAGCGACACACACACACGTTAGCTTCATCTATACAGCGACACACACACGTCAGCTTCATCCATACAGCGACACACACTCTCGTCTCCTTCATCTATACAGCGACACACACACTCGTCTCCTTCATCCATACAGTGACACACACACTCGTCTCCTTCATCCATACAGCGACACACACACTCGTCTCCTTCATCTATACAGCGACACACACACTCGTCTCCTTCATCTATACAGCGACACACACACTCGTCTCCTTCATCTATACAGCGACACACACACACGTCAGCTTCATCCATACAGCGACACACACACTCGTCTCCTTCATCTATACAGCGACACACACACACGTCTCCTTCATCTATACAGCGACACACACACACGTCAGCTTCATCTATACAGCGACACACACACTCGTCTCCTTCATCTATACAGCGACACACACACGTCTCCTTCATCTATACAGCGACACACACACACGTCAGCTTCATCTATACAGCGACACACACACACGTCTCCTTCATCTATACAGCGACACACACACACGTCAGCTTCATCTATACAGCGACACACACACTCGTCTCCTTCATCCATACAGCGACACACACACTCGTCTCCTTCATCTATACAGCGACACACACACACGTCTCCTTCATCTATACAGCGACACACACACACGTCAGCTTCATCTATACAGCGACACACACACTCGTCTCCTTCATCCATACAGCGACACACACACTCGTCTCCTTCATCTATACAGCGACACACACACTCGTCTCCTTCATCTATACAGCGACACACACACTCGTCTCCTTCATCTATACAGCGACACACACACACGTCAGCTTCATCCATACAGCGACACACACACTCGTCTCCTTCATCCATACAGCGACACACACACTCGTCTCCTTCATCTATACAGCGACACACACACTCGTCTCCTTCATCTATACAGCGACACACACACTCGTCTCCTTCATCTATACAGCGACACACACACACGTCAGCTTCATCTATACAGCGACACACACACTCGTCTCCTTCATCTATACAGCGACACACACACTCGTCTCCTTCATCTATACAGCGACACACACACACTCGTCTCCATCTATACAGTGACACACACACACGTCAGCTTCATCCATACAGCGACACACACTCTCGTCTCCTTCATCTATACAGCGACACACACACTCGTCTCCTTCATCTATACAGCGACACACACACACGTCTCCTTCATCTATACAGCGACACACACACACGTCAGCTTCATCTATACAGCGACACACACACACGTCAGCTTCATCTATACAGCGACACACACACACGTCTCCTTCATCTATACAGCGACACACACACACGTCAGCTTCATCTATACAGCGACACACACACACGTCAGCTTCATCCATACAGCGACACACACACGTCAGCTTCATCTATACAGCGACACACACACACGTCTCCTTCATCTATACAGCGACACACACACTCGTCTCCTTCATCTATACAGCGACACACACACACGTCTCCATCTATACAGCGACACACACACACGTCAGCTTCATCTATACAGCGACACACACACACGTCAGCTTCATCTATACAGCGACACACACACACGTCTCCTTCATCTATACAGCGACACACACACACGTCAGCTTCATCTATACAGCGACACACACACACGTCAGCTTCATCCATACAGCGACACACACACGTCAGCTTCATCTATACAGCGACACACACACACGTCTCCTTCATCTATACAGCGACACACACTCTCGTCTCCTTCATCTATACAGCGACACACACTCTCGTCTCCTTCATCTATACAGCGACACACACTCTCGTCTCCTTCATCTATACAGCGACACACACTCTCGTCTCCTTCATCTATACAGCGACACACACTCTCGTCTCCTTCATCTATACGGCGACACACACACACGTCAGCTTCATCTATACAGCGACACACACTCTCGTCTCCTTCATCTATACAGCGACACACACTCTCGTCTCCTTCATCTATACAGGGACACACACACACGTCAGCTTCATCTATACAGCGACACACACACTCGTCTCCTTCATCTATACAGCGACACACACACTCGTCTCCTTCATCTATACAGCGACACACACTCTCGTCTCCTTCATCTATACAGCGACACACACACACGTTAGCTTCATCTATACAGCGACACACACACGTCAGCTTCATCCATACAGCGACACACACTCTCGTCTCCTTCATCTATACAGCGACACACACACTCGTCTCCTTCATCCATACAGTGACACACACACTCGTCTCCTTCATCCATACAGCGACACACACACTCGTCTCCTTCATCTATACAGCGACACACACACTCGTCTCCTTCATCTATACAGCGACACACACACTCGTCTCCTTCATCTATACAGCGACACACACACACGTCAGCTTCATCCATACAGCGACACACACACTCGTCTCCTTCATCTATACAGCGACACACACACGTCTCCTTCATCTATACAGCGACACACACACACGTCAGCTTCATCTATACAGCGACACACACACTCGTCTCCTTCATCTATACAGCGACACACACACGTCTCCTTCATCTATACAGCGACACACACACACGTCAGCTTCATCTATACAGCGACACACACACACGTCTCCTTCATCTATACAGCAACACACACACACGTCAGCTTCATCTATACAGCGACACACACACTCGTCTCCTTCATCCATACAGCGACACACACACTCGTCTCCTTCATCTATACAGCGACACACACACACGTCTCCTTCATCTATACAGCGACACACACACACGTCTCCTTCATCTATACAGCGACACACACACACGTCTCCTTCATCTATACAGCGACACACACACACGTCAGCTTCATCTATACAGCGACACACACACACGTCTCCTTCATCTATACAGCGACACACACACACGTCAGCTTCATCTATACAGCGACACACACACACGTCAGCTTCATCCATACAGCGACACACACACTCGTCTCCTTCATCCATACAGCGACACACACACTCGTCTCCTTCATCTATACAGCGACACACACACTCGTCTCCTTCATCTATACAGCGACACACACACTCGTCTCCTTCATCTATACAGCGACACACACACACGTCAGCTTCATCCATACAGCGACACACACTCTCGTCTCCATCTATACAGCGACACACACACTCGTCTCCTTCATCTATACAGCGACACACACACACGTCTCCTTCATCTATACAGCGACACACACACTCGTCTCCTTCATCTATACAGCGACACACACACGTCTCCTTCATCTATACAGCGACACACACACACGTCAGCTTCATCTATACAGCGACACACACACACGTCTCCTTCATCTATACAGCGACACACACACACGTCAGCTTCATCTATACAGCGACACACACACACGTCAGCTTCATCTATACAGCGACACACACACACGTCTCCTTCATCTATACAGCGACACACACACACGTCAGCTTCATCTATACAGCGACACACACACACGTCAGCTTCATCCATACAGCGACACACACACGTCAGCTTCATCTATACAGCGACACACACACACGTCTCCTTCATCTATACAGCGACACACACTCTCGTCTCCTTCATCTATACAGGGACACACACACTCGTCTCCTTCATCTATACAGCGACACACACTCTCGTCTCCTTCATCTATACAGGGACACACACACACTTCAGCTTCATCTATACAGGGACACACACACTCGTCTCCTTCATCTATACAGCGACACACACTCTCGTCTCCTTCATCTATACAGGGACACACACACACGTCAGCTTCATCTATACAGCGACACACACACGTCAGCTTCATCCATACAGCGACACACACACGTCAGCTTCATCTATACAGCGACACACACACGTCAGCTTCATCTATACAGCGACACACACACGTCTCCTTCATCTATACAGCGACACACACACGTTAGCTTCATCTATACAGCGACACACACACGTCAGCTTCATCTATACAGCGACACACACACGTCAGCTTCATCCATACAGCGACACACACACGTCAGCTTCATCTATACAGCGACACACACACGTCAGCTTCATCTATACAGCGACACACACACGTCAGCTTCATCTATACAGCGACACACACACGTCAGCTTCATCTATACAGCGACACACACACGTCAGCTTCATCTATACAGCGACACACACACGTCAGCTTCATCTATACAGCGACACACACACGTCAGCTTCATCCATACAGCGACACACACACGTCAGCTTCATCTATACAGCGACACACACACGTCAGCTTCATCTATACAGCGACACACACACGTCAGCTTCATCTATACAGCGACACACACACACGTCAGCTTCATCCATACAGCGACACACACACGTCAGCTTCATCTATACAGCGACACACACACGTCAGCTTCATCCATACAGCGACACACACACGTCAGCTTCATCTATACAGCGACACACACACACGTCAGCTTCATCTATACAGCGACACACACACACGTCAGCTTCATCTATACAGCGACACACACACGTCTCCTTCATCTATACAGCGACACACACACGTCAGCTTCATCTATACAGCGACACACACTCTCGTCTCCTTCATCTATACAGCGCTTTAACAGTATAGAGTTTCACAGCAGCTTTACAGTGATAACAGGAGATTACAGTAACAGAGAGTGTTTAGGCTTTACAGCAGCTCTAGAATACAGTTATTGTCCAGATAAAGTTAGTTTTGATTGATTCACTTCCGTTGCAGAGATCATTAGTGATTAACTTAGCGGCCGCTCACTCGCACACTACAGTGTTTGGCTCGAGAACGCAAATGTTTCCATGTGACCTGGAGTTTGACGAGCTGTATCTGTGCAGAGGAGACGGGAAGGAGAGGTTATAACACATGACATTGAGTCACACGCGCTCTTCTTACTGCAGGTCAACAAACACGCGTTCTCCGGCGGGAAGGACACGGTCGAGGAACACCGGAAGCTCGGCGGGAATCCAGATGTGGACGTTTCCTTCATGTATCTCACGTTCTTCCTGGAAGACGACGAACAGCTGGAGAAGATCCGGCAGGTGAGAGCAAACACTGATGACGTCATCACACAGCCAAACCACACACACACACACACACACACCTGACACTACAGTTCACTTCTGTGAGTGAGGAGAGCAAGTGATATAAAGTGAGATATTATACTCAAATATTTAGTGACTACCAGTAAAAGCTATAGAAATCTGGGAGCAGAACTGATTCCTCCACTTTGAGCTGATGATGTTTTGCTGAAGTGTGTTTTCTGTAATTGCTAATGCTCTTTTTACACACACACTGAACAACATGAAGCATTGCTTGGTCACTGGTTGAGCTAAACTGGTATTATCTAATTGTGTAGTTAAATTTACCAGCTGACAGATATTCAACATAATTCATGTGTGAGAGTCTAACAGAAGGACGGACAAAACCAGTCAAATATCCACTGAGTTCTGCTCATATTTATCACCATTTTCTAAACTATAGTGAATAACCTGATAATGTGAGAAATGTTGGAGCTGTGTGTGTGTGTGTTGAAGCTGTGTGTGTGTTGAAGCTGTGTGTGTGTTGAAGCTGTGTGTGTGTTGGAGCTGTGTGAGTGTGTGTTGAAGCTGTGTGAGTGTGTGTGTGTGTGTTGGAGCTGTGTGAGTGTGTGTTGAAGCTGTGTGTGTGTTGGAGCTGTGTGAGTGTGTGTTGAAGCTGTGTGTGTGTTGGAGCTGTGTGAGTGTGTGTTGGAGCTGTGTGAGTGTGTGTTGAAGCTGTGTGTGTGTTGGAGCTGTGTGTGTGTGTGTGAGTGTTGGAGCTGTGGGTGTGTGTGTGTGTGAGTGTTGGAGCTGTGTGTGTGTGTGTGTGTGTGTGTGTGAGTGTTGGAGCTGTGTGTGTGTGTGTGTGTGAGTGTTGGAGCTGTGTGTGTGTGTGAGTGTGTGTGTGTGTGTGTGTGTGTGAGTGTTGGAGCTGTGTGTGTGAGTGTTGGAGCTGTGTGTGTGTGTGTGTGTGTGTGTGTGTGTGTGTTGGAGCTGTGTGTGTTGGAGCTGTGTGAGTGTGTGTTGAAGCTGTGTGTGTGTGTGTGTGTTGGAGCTGTGTGTGTGTGTGTGAGTGTTGGAGCTGTGGGTGTGTGTGTGTGTGTGTGAGTGTTGGAGCTGTGTGTGTGTGTGTGTGAGTGTTGGAGCTGTGTGTGTGTGTGTGTGTGTGTGTGTGAGTGTTGGAGCTGTGTGTGTGAGTGTTGGAGCTGTGTGTGTGTGTGTGTGTGTGTGTGTGTGAGTGTTGGAGCTGTGTGAGTGATGTTGTGTGACTGTACACACTGAAAGTAAAAGTATGACCTGTAAATGAGTGCGTGTGTGTTGGAGCTGTGTGTGTGTGTGTGTGTGTGTTGGAGCTGTGTTTGAGTGTTGGAGCTGTGTGTGAGTGTTGGAGCTGTGTGTATGTGTGTGTTGGAGCTGTGTGTGTGTGTGTGTGTGTGTTGGAGCTGTGTGTGTGTGTGTGTGTTGGAGCTGTGTGTGTGTGTGTGTGTTGGAGCTGTGTGAGTGTGTGTGTTGGAGCCGTGTGTGTGTGTGTGTGTTGGAGCTGTGTGTGTGTGTGTGTGTGTGTTGGAGCTGTGTGTGTGTGTGTTGTGTGACTGTACTCACTGAAAGTAAAAGCATGACCTGTAAATGAGTGTGTGTGTGTGTGTGTCAGGACTACAGGAGCGGCGCGCTGCTCACCGGCGAGCTGAAGAAGCGTTTGATCGAGACGCTCCAGCCGATGATCGCCGCGCATCAGGAGAGACGCAAGCTGGTGACCGACGAGACCGTGCGACACTTCATGACCCCGCGCGAGCTGCGCTTCACCCGCTAAACCACACGCATCCTCGCGGAGGTGAAGCCGCTGCCCTCGCGCGTGTGTGATGGAGAGACGGCGCACTGATGCTGTACGTGCTCTGCTGGCTCTGTGGACACTCGCTGTAGACGCACGAGCTCCACACCGCTGGGATTAAAGGGTTAACTCACTCACACTCGCTCTGTTTCCATCAAACTACTTTCATTTGGATATCGCATAACAAAACGCTGGATTGAAATGACAAAATGAGCATAAATTATAAAAATGCTTAAATACATTTTTATCCTATAAGAAGACGTGCCCATAAAATATGATTGAAACACATTTACTGAATAAATCCCTCAAACCTCATGTGACTCCGCGTCAGCTGTGATTGGATAACTGGAGTAACCAGTGGACCAATGGCGTCGCAGCGTCTCTAATGTTGGTTTGGTGTTTCTGAAACGCTGGAGTCGGAGTGTGTGATCAGAGTAATGTGGTGTAATCCCTCCAGAAGCGTCTCACACACACACTCGTTCATGATGACGCTCGACACACACTCGTTCATGATGACGCTCGACACACACTCGTTCATGATGACGCTCGACACACACTCGTTCATGATGACGCTCGACACACACTCGTTCATGATGACGCTCGACACACACTCGCTCATGATGACGCTCGACACACACTCGTTCATGATGACGCTCGACGCACACTCGTTCATGATGACGCTCGACACACACTCGTTCATGATGACGCTCGACACACACTCGTTCATGATGACGCTCGACACACACTCGTTCATGATGACGCTCGACACACACTCGCTCATGATGACGCTCGACACACACTCGCTCATGATGACGCTCGACACACACTCGTTCATGATGACGCTCGACACACACTCGTTCATGATGACGCTCGACGCACACTCGTTCATGATGACGCTCGACACACACTCGTTCATGATGACGCTCGACACACACTCGTTCATGATGACGCTCGACACACACTCGTTCATGATGACGCTCGACGCACACTCGTTCATGATGACGCTCGACACACACTCGTTCATGATGACGCTCGACGCACACTCGTTCATGATGACGCTCGACACACACTCGTTCATGATGACGCTCGACGCACACTCGTTCATGATGACGCTCGACACACACTCGTTCATGATGACGCTCGACACACACTCGTTCATGATGACGCTCGACACACACTCGTTCATGATGACGCTCGACACACACTCGTTCATGATGACGCTCGACACACACTCGTTCATGATGACGCTCGACGCACACTCGCTCATGATGACGCTCGACGCACACTCGTTCATGATGACGCTCGACGCACACTCGTTCATGATGACGCTCGACACACACTCGTTCATGATGACGCTCGACACACACTCGTTCATGATGACGCTCGACACACACTCGTTCATGATGACGCTCGACGCACACTCGTTCATGATGACGCTCGACACACACTCGTTCATGATGACGCTCGACGCACACTCGTTCATGATGACGCTCGACACACACTCGTTCATGATGACGCTCGACGCACACTCGTTCATGATGACGCTCGACACACACTCGTTCATGATGACGCTCGACACACACTCGTTCATGATGACGCTCGACACACACTCGTTCATGATGACGCTCGACGCACACTCGCTCATGATGACGCTCGACGCACACTCGTTCATGATGACGCTCGACGCACACTCGCTCATGATGACGCTCGACGCACACTCGTTCATGATGACGCTCGACACACACTCGTTCATGATGACGCTCGACGCACACTCGTTCATGATGACGCTCGACACACACTCGTTCATGATGACGCTCGACACACACTCGTTCATGATGACGCTCGACACACACTCGTTCATGATGACGCTCGACGCACACTCGCTCATGATGACGCTCGACGCACACTCGTTCATGATGACGCTCGACGCACACTCGCTCATGATGACGCTCGACGCACACTCGTTCATGATGACGCTCGACACACACTCGTTCATGATGACGCTCGACACACACTCGCTCATGATGACGCTCGACGCACACTCGTTCATGATGACGCTCGACACACACTCGCTCATGATGACGCTCGACGCACACTCGTTCATGATGACGCTCGACGCACACTCGTTCATGATGACGCTCGACGCACACTCGTTCATGATGACGCTCGACGCACACTCGTTCATGATGACGCTCGACGCACACTCGTTCATGATGACGCTCGACACACACTCGTTCATGATGACGCTCGACACACACTCGTTCATGATGACGCTCGACACACACTCGTTCATGATGACGCTCGACACACACTCGTTCATGATGACGCTCGACACACACTCGTTCATGATGACGCTCGACACACACTCGTTCATGATGACGCTCGACACACACTCGCTTATGATGACGCTCGACACACACTCGTTCATGATGACGCTCGACACACACTCGTTCATGATGACGCTCGACACACACTCGCTCATGATGACGCTCGACACACACTCGTTTATGATGACGCTCGACACACACTCGCTCATGATGACGCTCGACACACTCGCTCATGATGACGCTCGACACACACTCGCTCATGATGACGCTCGACACACTCGCTCATGATGACGCTCGACACACTCGCTCATGATGGCGCTCGTTCATGATGGAGGGAGAACAGCCCGAGTGCAGAAACACACTTTTATTACTGATATTTGAGCCAGTTTCCCAGGAAGTGACGATGATGTTCACATTAAACACATGAGATGGAAACACTGCGTTATTCTCAAATGTATTCGGCAACATTCCAGTTAAACTCCCAGCTTTAGATGTAAACACAGCTGACTCGTGTGTGTTTAACAGGGACTCGCACGACTGAAGTCTCAGAGGACAGTAGTTAGAGAGTTTGAGTTCAAACCCTCACATGATGCTCTTCAGCATCTGAGGTAGACACTGCAAAACACTCAAATACACATTAATGCCAATGATACACATTCATGAGTGACACACACACACACACACACGATATTAAACATTGTGCAGGATCCAGAACTTGTGCAAAGGGAAGATGTGCGCCTGATGTTCAGGACGCTGGGCGCAGAAAGCGGACCACCAGTTCGTACGTGGCGAAGACGGACATGTTGACGGGAAAGGCGCGGATGCAGTTGAGCGTCAGGCCTCTGAACAGGACGGCCAGGCCTTCGGTCCGCACGCTGTGTGTGACGCAGTGGAAGAACCCTCTGTAGAGCCGGCCGCTCACGCCGGACACCTGCAGACGGGCCTTGATCACGTCCATCGGCGTCCCGACGGCCCAGCCACACATCCCAGAGACCCCACCGGCCAGCAGAACCACCGGCCAGCCTGAGAACACACACACACACACTGCCGTCACTCCGGCCACACACAACCCTAGCGTTCTTCTCTCACTTTATACCAAAAAGGTTCCATATAAGGAGAGATGTCTTCAATTATTGCATAACACTTTCATGTTTAATGGGGTTTTTCAATTCTTTCTAGTGATAAAGTATCATTACGAGCTGCTTAATTCATAAAATTCAATTAAAATTAAAAATGAATTAGAACTAAGTTTATCGATTAAAACTAAATCCATAAAATGATCAGTTGATGGAAACCTGAAAGGTTCTATAAATGAAGCAAAGTCCTCTGGTACAAGATCTACAGGCTTTCATAGCCAACCTCGGAAGTCGGGGAAGGTCTCGTTTTTTAAAGGGGACCTATTATGCAAAATTCACTCTTATATTGTTTTTGAACATGTTTATGTGTCGGCAGTTTGTGTACACAACCATTGTGGTAAAAATCAATCCACTTCGTTTGATATTTTCCTCATAAATCTGAAACAGTGTCTCAAAATGAGCCGTTAAGGAATGTGACATCACATTGCACAGGCCCCGCCCACATCTGCTGACAGACTCCACCCTATTAGCATAGGCCCGCCCACGACTGCTGACAGACTCCGCCCTATTAGCATAGACCCACCCACGACTGCTGACAGACTCCGCCCTATTAGCATAGACTCCGCCCACGACTGCTGACAGACTCCGCCCTATTAGCATAGACCCGCCTACGACTGCTGACAGACTCCGCCTATTAGCAAAGACCCACCCACGACTGCTGACAGGCTCCGCCTATTAGCATAGACCCGCCCACGACTGCTGACAGACTCCGCCCTATTAGCATAGGCCCGCCCACGAATGCTGACAGACTCCGCCCTATTAGCATAGACCAGCCCACGACTGCTGACAGACTCCGCCCTATTAGCATAGACCCGGCCACGACTGCTGACAGACTCCGCCCTATTAGCATAGACCCGGCCACGACTGCTGACAGACTCCGCTCTATTAGCATAGACCCGGCCACGAATGCTGACTGACTTCCCCCTATTAGCATAGACCCGCCCACGACTGCTGACAGACTCCGCCCCATTAGCATAGGCCCGCCCACGAATGCTGACTGACTTCGCCCTATTAGCATAGACCCGCCCACGACTGCTGACAGACTCCGCCTATTAGCATAGACCCGCCCACGACTGCTGACAGACTCCACACTATTAGCATAGACCTGCCCACGACTGCTGACAGACTCCGCCCTATTAGCATAGACCTGCCCACGACTGCTGACAGACTCTACCCTATTAGCATAGACCCGGCCACGACTGCTGACAGACTCCGCTCTATTAGCATAGACCCGGCCACGAATGCTGACTGACTTCCCCCTATTAGCATAGACCCACCCACGACTGCTGACAGACTCCGCCCCATTAGCATAGGCCCGCCCACGAATGCTGACTGACTTCGCCCTATTAGCATAGACCCGCCCACGACTGCTGACAGACTCCGCCTATTAGCATAGACCCGCCCACGACTGCTGACAGACTCCACACTATTAGCATAGACCTGCCCACGACTGCTGACCGACTTCACCCTATTAGCATAGACCTGCCCACGACTGCTGACAGACTCCACACTATTAGCATAGACCTGCCCACGACTGCTGACCGACTTCACCCTATTAGCATAGACCCGCCCACAACTGCTGACAGACTCCGCCCTATTAGCATAGATCCGCCCACGACTGCTGACAGACTCTACCCTATTAGCATAGACTCCGCCCACGACTGCTGACTGACTCCGCCCTATTAGCATAGATCCGCCCACGACTCCTGACAGACTCCGCCCTATTAGCATAGACCCGCCCACGACTGCTGACCGACTTCACCCTATTAGCATAGATCCGCCCACAACTGCTGACAGACTCCGACCTATTAGCATAGACCCGCCCACAACTGCTGACCGACTTCACCCTATTAGCATAGACCCGCCCACAACTGTTGACAGACTCCGCCCTATTAGCATAGACCCGCCCACAACTGCTGACAGACTCCGGCCTATTAGCATAGATCCGCCCACGACTGCTGACAGACTCCGGCCTATTAGCATAGACCCGCCCACGACTGCTGACCGACTTCACCCTATTAGCATAGACCCGCCCACGACTGCTGACAGACTCCGCCCTATTAGCATAGACCCGCCCACGACTGCTGACCGACTTCACCCTATTAGCATAGACCCGCCCACAACTGCTGACCGACTTCACCCTATTAGCATAGACCCGCCCACAACTGCTGACAGACTCCGCCCTATTAGCATAGATCCGCCCACGACTGCTGACAGACTCCGCCCTATTAGCATAGACCCGCCCACGACTGCTGACCGACTTCACCCTATTAGCATAGACCCGTCCACAACTGCTGACCGACTTCACCCTATTAGCATAGACCCGCCCACAACTGCTGACAGACTCCGCCCTATTAGCATAGATCCGCCCACGACTGCTGACAGACTCCGCCCTATTAGCATAGACCCGCCCACGACTGCGGACAGGCTCCGCCTATTAGCATAGACCCACCCACGACTGCGGACAGGCTCCGCCTATTAGCATAGACCCGCCCACGACTGCTGACAGACTCCGCCTATTAGCATAGATCCGCCCACAGTGAGCTGCACACAGTCTGCATGTTTATGTCCTCGCCGGAACATTTAACTGCAGAATTAAAGTACGAAATCTATCCTTATTAAAGCTACTAAAGTACTTCAGTCCAGAGCAGTGAGGGAGTTTACGGTTTTCTTTAGTGGTTTGATTCATATTAACAGCTTATATAGCAGTATGTTCTGTGTATTGCACTGTCTTTAATTAAACACGGGGAAAGCCAGATTTAGCTGATATGTCCCTGTAAGATCTTCCGATGGGGTCTTACCCGGCGGCTGGTTCTCTGCAGACAGCGCATCACAGATGCTGTTGTAAGTGAGGAAGTAAGTGGCGAACGAGGGTCCGTCTCGCAGCGCTAGCGCGGCAGAACCCTTATAAAGACCCAGCGGACCCTCGTCTCGGGCGATTCTGAGCAGGCAGTGCAGCGGGCCACCGTACCGCCGGCCTTCAGCCTGACACTGCAGACGGACCTTCACCATGTCTGCGGGAGACATCACCAGCACCTGCACACACACACACACACACGCTGGAGACCCAACGCTGGACAATAGAGACACCAGAATAACTATATTCATGATTCTGAAGCTGAAATACAGGATTATTTTATTTTTACTGGTAACATCAGATATCTGGCATTATCAGGACCCACAAATATTCCCCACTGCATTATTATACATCATATTCAACATTAGATATAGTAGTTTAATGTAGTACTGACACTAAAACTCTGTAAACGTGAATTTTTTCTCACAGTAATTTTCATTTTGGGTGAACTATATACACGACACATATTGTTGCATTTTTGTATTGCGATATATTGTGACACGATACACTGTTACACCCCTAACTCACAGTGACACACAACACGTGTTTGTGTTTGTGTGTGTGAGAACAAGCGCCACCTTGCGGTCTTTCTCTCAACACTGAGTGAGTTAACCTGCAGTTCCTCCACTGGCCACTAGAGGCCGGCTGCAGAAGAGACTCAGTCCCATAGACCTGCATGTTAAAATGCACATCTTTACACCAGAATAAAACATGTTTACAGTCTGGTACTAAAAGTGGTTTTGCTCTATATCGCTAATGTTGCCCTTCATGACGACTGTGAGGCGGGTGAATGTTTTTATAACTCATCCGTTTAAATTATATTAAGCCTTAAAGTTGTGCATAATTAACCCTCTGGGGTCCAAGGTGTTTTTGGGGTCCTTGAGATGTTTTGACATACTCTGACATTTGTGCTTTTTTCAGTTGCTTATAAACATATTACTGGCAAAGGTGTAATTACACTCTATTTAGCACACACAGGGCTACCATAATGTGTTATCAACATGTATGTACATTTTTGTATTTTTGAGAGAATATTGTTTATGCGTGGTTATTGAAAAAACTAAAACTTAAAGTTTCTGAAATAAGGCCACAAAACACATACTAAATATGTGTCCACAAGACTTTTGACTAATGGATGTTGTGGCCTAGAGTTTTTTCTTCAAAATGATCTGAAAATCATCCTGTCTTATCATTCACATAACACAATAGATTGTTTTAAATTGTGAAAAACATTTTTTTGTTTGCAAAGGCAATATGCGGATGGGCGGATCGGCCCAACCCCCTCATGAATAATTAGGCAGTTCTCACCTGAGCAGACTGCATACTAATGAGCCTTTCATTCAGGGGTGTCACACAAGAAAGAATGCAAGGACAATATATATATAAATAAATAAATATTTATATACACACACACACACACACACACATATATATATATATATATATATATATATGTGTGTGTGTGTGTGTGTGTATAAATATTTATTTATTTATATATATATATTGTCCTTGCATTCTTTCTTGTGTGACACCCCTGAATGAAAGGCTCATTAGTATATATATATATATATATATATATATATATACAAACAATCAAAATATAAATGAAAGCCAAAAGCACATTTTTAGTCACACCTTTTAGCCATCCACATACCATTTTTAGCCATCCACCGCGGAAAAAATAAACCAGTCGCATTTCAAAGTCGTACGCGAAATGACCGCCAGGTGGCGCAAAGGGATATTTAGCAAAACGTAAGTGGGGCTAATGTCTATTAACAGTAGCCTAAGGATGAAATACTACAAGTTATGGTAATTTCCAAATAAGCCTACAACAAATTGTTGGTCATACAGATAAGATATAATCTTTTAAAACTGTAAAAGGCTAAAGTAGGCCTACACTCACAGGCTAAAGACAAAACGTTTTCTCGCTCATGTGAGAATCAAACGTTTGGTTATTTCTCAGTAACAAAATTCATAGCCGAGCGGTAGAACTGACGGTTCATCATCAAGATGACACAGGTTTAAATCCCGCACAAACATAGTCTGCTGTATATTTTATATTTATTATTGCAGAGAGATTTGTCTAGCTCTAAAACTCTGTTACACCATACAGTTTTGTTTTATATAGGCTATATATATTTTTTATTTATTTATTCCAGGCTCTCACGCCACACCCCCGATTTCTCACGCTGAAGTGTCAACCCGGTCGGTCAAATTCCTGAAAGATATAGTTTATCTATAGATCTACCTGTTGAGCCACTCGTGATCGACTAGTTATACCGCGAATTAGTTATTAATTATTTTAATCCCCACACCCCTCCCTCCACAGCTAATCAATGCTATAGGCTACTTCACCAATATCAAATATAAAATAGAGATATGCAACAGGCACGTTTAAACGAAAAACAATAAAATCAAAACCAGCGTTTCAGTTGTTCATTAGTTCCAGTGGCCTTAATGCATGCACGGCTTTTCAAAATTTCACAAAGCGTGTTGAGATTATTTTGAATGAAATATTGAAGTTTATAATTAAGTGTTTTGGCACACCACGCCGAGTGGTCCTATGCATTTTTCTAAAGTCGGGTTTTATTCTGGCATCGTGAGTTAGTGTTCGACAAACGCGGCGGAGCGTTCATTTAGATTAATTTATTTATCTCATTATTACAGCTAAAATAACTTAATAGGCGACTCCGTAATTTTTTGGTCATACAGATAAGAGTAGAGTAGCTTACATCGTTCAAAACTGTAAACTTGTATTCATATTAGGCTAACGACAAAAACAGTATATCTGTCCTCTCTGTCTCCGGGAACTGCGCGTCACAAAAATGAACCGAAAGCCACTTCAGCTCAGTCACGATAAGAAATCGGCTATGTCTAAAGCCTTTAAATGTCTAAATATTTAGGCTAATAAATGTTATCTGATTATGTAGGCTAATCCATATGAAAACGAGAGGTACAGAGGATCTAGGCTACTCAAACATGCGCTTCCCAATGAGAAAATGACAAGACATGGGTGAAAATCTCGCTCTAATTAAATGTAGGCTAAATCGCCCTGAATTAAAATGTAAAAACATAATAATGTATTTGTCGAAATGTTGCGATATTGTTTCATTTAAGTTCATAATTATTCTATAAATGTTATTTAATTTAGCAGCATTACCACGAAGCACCGTGTTTCGATATTTATTTGAATAATACAAAATAAAATAAAAACTTAATTCACAAATTGCATGCCTGGTTGTAAGGATCCAAAGATCCCTGTAGACTTTAATATTAAGTTGAACATTTTGTTCATGACAACAAATTAACAAGCGTTTTTTCAGATTATATTTAGTTTTGCTTGGAAAAAGCTGCCCCAAACCAGTTTTATTTCATCAATTATTGAAATAATGAAATATTTAGTAATAAACTTTTATGACAGAAATATCACTAGGCTACATGTAACTTAAATCATTTAATTCCTTCATTATCAACACTGTCTAGAATGGCGATTTAAGTGTGAATTGCGACTTCTCTTTGTGTAAAGTCAGCCTCAGACTCCGATAGCCTGTGGGGGGTTGGAGGGACATTGCTGGACAAAGGTGTTAATGTTCCTCTTTCATATGGAGAGTGTCGGATAGCCAGCCTGATGAGCAGGCAAAATTATTGTAAGGATAAATCTGTGTCCAAATGTAGGCCCCATATCTTATTAAATTATAAATATTGTAGTTTATTTATTGTAGCCTATTTAAAGTTTTTTTCACACAAAATTTCAATTGAAGTTATTGTAAGGTGAATTCAACAAGGCATGCTGTGCCTTTGAAGCAACAATTAAAGGTTAAATAAATTTTTCGTGATTTGTATGGCTGACACGCAGCGACATATACAGTATTATCAGCTGTATGATGTGTTTTTACCCTGAAATGTTTAATTTCGAGAGAGAGACCCGCGCGCACAGCGAGGGAGACTAAATAAACTTGTTAAAAAGAGATCCAGCGCGAGAGAGGCAAAGAGAAACGCATGTTTTTAATTTAATTATGTTTCTTTGGACAATTTTCGTTTTGTAGGCCTACTGTTTTAATTGTTTAATTTAGCTGTATTTTCTTTGGCAATACAAATTTAAAATGTCGCAAGAATAAGATTAGCCTAGTGTTTCTTATTTTGCATCGCAAAAGAAATAAACTCTAAACAAGATGCAACCCTGTTTTAAATTAAACAATTTAAACCTTGAAATGTTCGAACTTGGTTTCAAACTTAAGTAATTTTAGTGTTCTTTTACATTACACAATAATTTAGCAGACTAAAGACGAGCTTCTTCATTTTCATTTTCTGATCGGCTGACAATCTTCATCAGTTTTTGTCGTTTGTGCAGCGGCTGCGGTTCTACAGGAATGTAGCAAATTTATGTTGTAATGATAATCAAACAAAACTCTTGACTTTAAATAAGTAAACAGATATAAATAGTTACCTATTTAAGCATCAAGGTGGGAAAATATAAACGTAGGACAACATCGGTTAACAACATCTATGCTACATTGAGATTCGATCTCGGGTCTGTTGAAGCTCCTCGAAGTTCGTGTCGTTGCGTTGATCACTGAGCTATCGTCTGTACGCTGTTAAAGATGTAAAGCCTCATTCATGTAGCCTAAATGATTTTATTGCAATGTTTTATGTTGAAATGTTTTCATTATTTATTCAATTACATTTCAGTAGCCTAATTTCAGTATTGTGATTATGAATTATTTTAACTACGTTTCACTTGTTGAATTCTTCGGTGCGGCAGCAGATTACACATTAGAGAGAATAAACCGGAATAAACGAACACTTTTCAGAGTCTATGATTGTAGCGCCCCTTAGCGGTAAAAGGCAGCAAATACACCACACATTTTACCGCCGCGGTGGAACAGCTGATGTGGGCATTGTCATGGCTTGCCTCACATTTGCGTTTGAATAGCGCGCGTCCTCCGTGGGCGTGTCAGATTAACGCGTAATGAAGTGTAATGAGCTGGGGGAAAAAATACTGACAGCACTCTCTTTTCATACAGATTGCATAAACTGAGAATATTTGTTTTTTATATAAATTACTTCATTTAAAAGAAGAGAATTTAAGCTTCATAAAGAAAAACCTCTCGTGCCTGTGTGACAAGTAATCGCGGAGTTACAGTTAATCTTAGGACGCGTTTCAGAATGGACTTCACTGACAGAGAGAACGCAGAACTCGCATCATGTTTGTTTTTCTTTATTTGGTGAAAAGCACAACACTTTGTTTTTATTGTGAGTATCCACAAAAAAAATAGAAACTTAACAGGATCTAATGATGTACAACACTTATATGTAAGATCAAAATTAACAGAGTAATTTGAGTCTCTTTTGCACTGATAAGGAAAAAAGTGAGCTGGTATCGCCGGCGAGACCGCCGACCCCAGAGAGTTAAGGGCGTGGCCACTTGAGTGACAGGTGGATTTGCGCTGATGTCACTGCTAGCCGTTTGTCTGCTAGCGTTAGCGTCACGTCACCTCAGCTAATCCGCCTCGCTGCACATGTTCGTTTATCCGGGAGTGACGCGCGGCCAAGATGGCGACGGCCGGCTCCGCCCACTCTGGGCTTCAGAAACACTACGGGTGACGTCACACACACTACGCACAGTGTTTTATGCAGTCTATGTGTGTGAAGCGATGAAGCGCACCTGAGCGACGCCTCCGCAGAACCCAGACAGAAGTATATCAGCTTTATGATGCGGATCCGCTGCGCTTCTGTGCCGCATCTGATGCAGCGAGTGCAGGACGTTCCTGTACGTGCCGAACACCAGAGACGAGCTGATGGAGACGGTGGTCAGCGGCATCGACATCCCTCGGTAGAACCCGCCCACCTGGAACACACCAGTGTGATATAACCCTGATCAGGAGAACATCTCATGATGAGGGCGGGGCTATAACCTGTCACTCACATGAGCTCAGCCAATAGCAAACCACAACCATCCAATCAATTCCCCACAGACAGTCAAGCCCCGCCCACATGTGTTCTTGTTCCTGAAGCGTTTCTCTCGATATACGACACAATAGAGGAGAGAAGAGCAGCGCAATGAGTTTAAGTGTGTCTGATACTCACGCCTTCAGTTCTGCAGGTTCTGCTCACACACTCCCAAACGCCGGAATACTGAGTCTGTGTCTGGAGTCGCACCTGCAACATCAGCAGCCGTTAGACACACACACACACCTATGATCAGGTGAGCATGATGATGATGATGATGAAGAAGGGTTTTACCTTCACGGTGTCCAGCGGATACCCCACCGCCACTCCAAACGCTCCTGAACCCACACACATCACACACTCAAAACTACAAGACACATTTATGAATATGATTCTTTATGAGACTCTATCGGCTCTAATCTCATGCATTACAGAATCTACAGTTGTTATCCAATGTGCATTTATCTATTTAAGATGCACTAATTAGCATTTCCTAGAACTTTAAAAGAGCACATTTAACATCAGACACAAGTGAAAGATATATAACTGAACTTTCCATTTCCGTACACACACGTTGTCAGAAGACACTCTTTATCTTGAACAATTTACATCATTTTATTGTATCATACAAGGTGAAGCAATGAATGAGATATTCAGAATGAGATACTTTAGCTTTGTGTAAATAAACTTCCCATGGAGAATTATTATAATGTCACATTCACACACACTGAGAAACGGTCACGAACCTCCGACAGAACCGGCGATGAAATCCGCGAGATGCATCGCGATCCGAACCAGAAGAACCGATCAGAGGAACCGAACCAGAAGAACCGATCAGAGGAACCGAACCAGAAGAACAAATCAGAGGATCCGAACTAGAAGAACCGATCCGGCAGAACCGAATCTATTGGAACCGATCAAACACAAGCATCGGAATCATCCGGTTCGATCCGCGTGACGTCAGCGGAGAAACGTCTTCATGATGATGATGATGATGAAGAACAACGATGAAGAGAAGCGCGTGCCGTGTCTCGTATACGGGTGTGTGTGTGTGTGTGTGTGTCGCTTTTGTCATTGCGGAAATGTGAACCCGGCCGAAGGTCACCGTGTCCTTCAGAACACACTCGTGCACAGTGACGGGCGCGCGCGCTGATGCTTCTGATGATCTCTATGATTTACAGTCGCAGAAAATATAAAGATCAGCTGCATGAAATATAGAGCCAGCGAGTGTCAGATCAGTGTGTGTGTTCCTGCAGTGTGTGTCCGCGGTGTGGCGCTGCTCTTCATCATGTCACCGACGAGGAGAAGGAAGAATTAAAGTGACAGTCGCGAGTTTTAGACGCAGATCTGAACAGCGTCCGCGCTCAAACTCTAGTCAGTTTTATTTCTACAAATTGTTTATATTTTAAAGACACGTCACGGCAATTTTCATGGCAAAATGTAGCAATATTTGAAACTGATATAAAAATAAATAAACCGGTTTTTTTTGGTTGCTACATTTCCTATACTTTTTATTAAGTTTAATTTCAGTTTTAGTTATTTTACTATTTAATGAGAAATGTTGCAAATTGGTTGAAACAAAATAAATGTTATTGTATTTGGTAACACTTTAATTCATTAGTTAACATGAACTAAGAATGAACAATACTTCAGCATTTATTAATCTTAGTTCATGTTAATACCAACATTTACTAATATTTTATTAAAATGAAAGGGTGTATTAGTTAAAGACCCACTCCGATGAAAATAATGTTTTTCTAGGTGTCAACATGTTCTTGTGGCATTTTTCTGATGTTTGAGGACATATCTTGAGAAAAATAAGCTCAAAGTTGTATTTCTGAGTATTTCTACATTCAAATGGCTGTGAATCAGTAGCAGACGCTAAAATGCCGGCTACAAATGGCATAAT